ATGATTGGAATGTTTGTTGCAACACTACCATATCGTATTCAATTAGATTGTCACTGGTTATTTGATGAACTTGTAAAACATGTACGAGAAAAATGTTTGTCGATTCTTGAACATGCTCATTATCCATTACAATATATTCTCGCTGAATCCCATCTGAATCCATCGAATGTTTCTTTTCTTGAGACTATGTTTGACTTTATTATTGTACCTCCTGGTAGTGGTGAATTATGTTTTAATGATGCAACTTTGGAAGACATTTCGTTCGAAGTATCATCTACAGTGGCTAAATTTGATTTCACGTTGACATTCCTTTACAATTCATCATTAAATGATGATAGACTTTCATGTCGTTTTGTCTGTTCACATGATTTATTCGATCAGTCGACTGTTGATCGGATAGCACAAAGATTTCAACATCTTTTCTATCAACTCTTTTCTTCCACATGTGGCGTCTGTTCGATCAACCAATCTTGTACATCTCTCAGAAAACTGTCAATTATCCTACCGAAGGAGATTGAAGAAATGCAAGGAAATATTTTTTACAGGCTACCAAACATCATAGATGAAGGTATGTTTTTGTATTTTTCATTTGCCTTATTTTATAGGATAGTAGTTTCGCTGAAAGCAAAGAGAATTTTTCGAATAGTGTAGTACAAATAAGTAATAATACGCTTGAATCGTCAGTTGTTTTGACCCTTGATGGTGTATGATAACAGGTAATGAGGAATCTATATGATTTATAGTAGTGATAGTCTGAAGAGTTCGTAATTGTCAGAACTTTTATGTTCATTTAGGTTATATTTCGAGAAAGAAAGTTCATCAAAGAATATGTCTAACAAGCATCGTCAGAAAAGTAGTGCTTGAAATGCATCATTTATCTCCAGTTTTAGTCTGATAGTTGGCACTAAAATTAAAACGAAAATTGACAACAATGACGGGTAAACTCCAGTTATTGAAAGACATGTACTTTTACTGTTTTATAAAGGTTTCGTTCATCAACGGGAAAAACATGAGATCTTTTGCATACAACAAAGTAATTATCTTTCTTATGTTTTGAAACATCAATGTTTCTGACGATGAATATTTTCGAGGATTTATTTTAATATTTTGGATTGTGTAGCGAATTTCAATAAGTTTCACATCTATATGAAGATATGTTAGAAGTCATTCAATAGAAACCAAATGGAATGGATATAGCAGAACATTTTAGAATGAAGAGATATCAGCTATATCAATTTCTTGTGCAGACTAACTAAACTAGATTTAAAGTGTTTTATTGTATATTTCAGGAATTATTCTAAGTAATAACTATGGTTACCTAAATTTAAAGGGTTCTTTGAAGACAATGGTCACTGGAGCCATTAGAAAACATTCGACTGCTTATGTATAGCAATAAAATTGTTTGCATAGAGACTAATTTTTGTCCGACATACAGAAGAAGACTCATATAAAATCATTACAATAGATTCTCATGTGGGATAACAATAATAGATACTTTTGAAATTATTATGGCTGTATGCGATTCTAAAGACTTTGTATTGGCATTCTTTCAATAAGCAGTCTGCATTCATGATTTATATAATTACAATATTTTTTTATAGAATTAGAAATTAAACCATTAATCGAAACTAAACTCTGGTAAAAAATTATCAATAGATAATGATATGAAAGCTTGTACAGCGTAGTTTACTCTCTCATACTACCAATGTAAAGATAATGAGAGAGGAAAAAATGCGTAAAGAACTCCCATGAAAACATAAACAATAGAGTCAAACAGCTACTTACCCATGTAAAAAAAAATTAGAAAAAATCAAATTTTAATCAATTAGTTTTTGATTAATAATTAATTATAATAGTGACAGTATAATTACCCATGTAAAAATAAATCAAGAAAAAACGGGATTTTAATCGATTTTTTTGTGATTAAAAATCGATTAAAATGAGACGATTTTCATCAAATTTTAATCAGATTCATTGAATTTTAATCAGTTTTAATCGCGTTAACAAAAACCTGCGTTTTTCTCGACCTTTAGCTCAGAAATCATAGCTTTTTATCGCTTTATCTGACTCCTCGCGTCGACAAATAGTAGACACAGCATCAAACCAACCTCGGACAAACATCGCTGAATTCGTGAGATAATAACCCATGTAAAAATAAATCATGAAATTTTCGATTAATTTTGATTTTTTGTAAAAAAATCACAAAAAATCGATTAAATACGACATTTTTCGATTAATTTTGAGAAAATAATTGATTTTAATCGATTTTCTTTGACTAAATCGATTTCAATCGATTTTATCTCAAGAAATTCAAATAATCGATTAGAAATCTAATAGATTTTAATCGGTTTTTTATGGCAATAACTTTCATCGATTAGAATCGATTTTTTTCCAAGAAATTGAAATAATTGATTAGAAATCTAATAGATTTTAATCGATTTTTTATGGCAATAACTTTAATCGATTAAAATCGATTTTTTTCCAAGAAATTCAAATAATCGATTAGAAATCTAATAGATTTTAATCGATTTTTCATGATGATAACTTTAATCGATTAAAATTGATTTTGTTCTAAGAAATTGAAATAATTGATTACAAATCTAATAGATTTTAATAGATTTTTTATGATGATAACTTTAATGGATTAAAATCGATTTTTTTCCAAGAAATTCAAATAATCGATTAGAAATATAATAGATTTTAATCGATTTTTCATGATGATAAGTTTAATCCATTAAAATCGATTTTTCTCTAAGAAATTGAAATAATTGATTACAAATCTAATAGATTTTAATCGATTTTTCATGATGATAACTTTAATCGATTAAAATCGATTTTTTTCCAAGAAATTGAAATAATTGATTAGAAATCTAATAGATTTTAATCGATTTTTTATAGCGACAACTTTAATCGATTAAAATCGATTTTTCTCCAAGAAATTCAAATAATCGATTAGAAATCTAATAGATTTTAATCGATTTTCTATGATGATAACTTTAATCGATTAAAATTGATTTTTTTCTAAGAAATTCAAATAATTGATTAGAAATCTAATCGATTTTAATAGGGTTTTTATGGCAATAACTTTCATCGATTAAATAAAATATAGGCCGATATAAGGCGATTTCGATCGGTCAGATAGGTTTCGACCGGTCAGACCGGTTTGGACCGGTAAATACCGGTCGATAAAAATCCAGACCGGTACCGGTTCCATCTTTGCTATGTGCTATAGAATGATGAGCAGTATATGGGTCTTTATGACATTAAGGCTCAATGAAAATTAGACTTCCTATATACCATTCGATGCGCCTTTAAATTCTCTACAAAACCATATACAAGACATTCTTGTTCTAACTAGGTGACAAAAACCGACAGGGTCCTTTAATAGATTTTAATCAATTTTTTATGAAGATAACTGTAATCGATTAAAAGCGATTTTATTTCAAGAAATGCAAATAATCGATTAGAAATTTAATAGATTTTTTATAAAGATAACTTTAATCGATTAAAGTCGATTATAGTTCTATGGATATGATTGTTTTTCATATGTAAAATTGATTAAAATTCATTACAGCTGCATGAATGGTAATATCTTCCAATCAGAGATGTCCATCGCGGCTGAAAATCTGCCGCTGCCGCGCCGCGGCCTTAGAAAAAAAAGCTGCCGCACCGCTGCCGCGCCGCGGCGGTTTATAAAAAAATGTTGCCGCGACGCTGCCGCACCGCGATGACTTATAAAAGAAACGCTGCCGCGCCGCTGCCGCGATGAATTATAAAATAAACGTGCCGCCACCGCGCCGCTGCCGCGACGATTTTCGAAAAAGTGTTTCTAATTTCACTGCTGTGACTATATTTGACCAGAGATATGGGTACTAGTCCATCAGATTTATTCAATATCAGGGCGTTTCATTTGTAAATCGTGAAATTCTATTAAATTCATACAGTTTTTCAATGTCCTCCAAAAAAATCCTGCCGCTGCCGCGCCGCTGCCGCGATGGTTTTTTAAAAAACCTGCCGCTACCGCGCCGCTGCCGCGATGACTTTTAAAAAAATCTGCCGCTACCGCGCCGCTGCCGCGGTGATTTTTTTTAAAAACCTGCCGCTGCCGCGCCGCCACCGCCACCGCGGCAGCGGCAGCGGCAGCGGCAGCGCCGCGGCAGCGCCGCGATGGACATCTCTGCTTCCAATAGAGAAAATCGATTAAAATCGATTATATTTCTGTGAATGCTGATTTTTTATAGAAAAAAATTGATTATAATCAATTATATTTTTTGTAATCGATTTTAATCGATTTTTGAATGTAATTGCGCAATTTCGAAGAAAACAACTTAAATAGGACTTCCAAACATACTTTGAATGCCGAAGTGTGGTGCATTGGCAACTTCATAGTTTCTTAATACGAGAAATAAGAAGAAGTGGTCGAAAAGTATGGGTTTTGTGTTCGAATCTCGAGTAAGTCACAAATTTTCGCGGTTTCATAAGAAAATCGATTAAAATCGATTATCTGAACAAAATCGATTAAAATCAGTTAGTAAGTAATAATAGATTAAAACCGATTAACAAATGATGAGGGATTAAAATCGATTAATAGGTGATGAGAGATTAAAATCGACTAACAGGTAATGAGAGATTTAAATGGATGATTCAGTTGAAGTAATGCACGCAGATAAAAAGTGAAGAGTGTCATATGAGCACAGTTAATAGACGCGAAGAAATTAACGATGATTATAATCGGGCGATTTCCATCAAATTAAAAATCAAAACAAAATTGATTTTAATGGATTATTCTGTAGAAAATCGATTAAAATCAGTTGTTTTTTGATTTTTAATTTGATTAAAATCCGATGAAAATCGTCTCATTTTAATCGATTTTTAATCAAAAAAAAATTGATTAAAATCTTGATTTTTTACGACTTTTTTTTACATGGGTAGTTATTAATCAACAAATAACTGATTATAATCGATTGAATTTCTTAAAACTAATTATAATCATTGTTTTGATTAGAAATCAGAATAGAATCGAAAAAAAATCCTTATATCCGATCGAACCCAAATGAAATCTGTTGTCGATTTTTCCTCAATTAAACTTCAATCGATTGAAATCACTCTCAATCTATTATTGACCATTATGTACTTAAATTCATCATTACGGCCATTAATTTGAGTATAATCGATTCGTACTTCTTCATCCATTTTAATCTGTCTCTTACCCTTTAATAAATATCACTCTATTTGTTACCTATAAATCGATCTTTATCACGCTCTTATCTTTTAATGGGTTTTAATCGATTTGAATCATTTTTATGAAAGATAAGCGCTTTTCTCGAGGTTCGAACTCAAAACCTTCAATTTTTCCTAAACTTTTCGGAATTTTCATATTTGAAAACCCTGTAGTTGCCACTAGACTAACTACTAGACAAGTAGAGTAGAGTTGGAACTTCTGTCTAAGTTGTTTCAAAGAGAAATTGCGCAATTACATTAGAAATAGATTAAAATCTATTCAAATAAAAATAATCGATTAAGGTCGATTGATAAGCAAAAACATCATTATATCTATTATTATATGACAAAGATGACTAGATACACATTATCGAGAAATCAAATCGTTTGTTTTATCATTGTCTCCATGTAACCATAAAACGCATTTTAGACGCGGTTAAACGCGTCTCGGATTAAAACAGACCTCAAACGCACTGAAATGCGTCTATAGTACTGGTGTCTAAACACGTTACGAACTGTTGCATGTATTCAAACGCGTTTATTAAATAAGACGCACCCAAGCAGGTTTAGATTAGTTATGGGATGGGTTTCAAGGCGGACAATTTCGGTTTTGCATCTAGATGCGTTCATAATTTCCAACAAAGTTAAATTGAACGCGATCGAACGCTGTCTATCGAAAGCATGCGATTACATGCGTTGATTGTGTACGCTTCCTGATGCTCTTGAATTCCACTTACGCGTCTAAATGCAGTCTGATTCTTTCTTTCGTATGGATAAGATGCATTTAAGCATATTTCTAGCTATAGGTGCATGCGATCCCATATACTCTAGAGGCTGTTTTATTAGAATAGATATCAATAGACCTCGCATTATGAGCGAGACTACGCGAGTTTTATTGAAAATGAGTATGAGAATTATCTACTAAGTTACTAAGACGAAGTACTAAAGTCCTATTGAATCTAATATTCCTAAAAATGACTACTCCTGATAATCTATAATTAAAATGTAGCCTACTAGTGTTGCATGAAATATATAAGAACGCATAGCTATACTTCGAAAAACTTCAGAACGTTTGTGTCCGTCTTACAAATTCATGAGGATGTAATTAATCTGAAGCAGAAATAAATGGGAATAGGATTGAAGTACATATTCTATAATGCAAACCATCTTTTCTTATCAAATTAAGAATAATTTGACAATGTTCTTTTTACTGCTCATGTAACCGTTTTTAGACTTTTACGCGTCTCTGAGTGCTTATAAGCAATTCACATGATGCTCTTGAACGCGTTCAAAAAAGCATATACGTCTAAACTCGCCCATGTTGAAGGCAGGTTACAATTTGTTTTCTGCTAATCGTGTGTGAGCGCTTGAACTTTATTCCGTAAAAAATTATAAAATTCTGATCAATATATGTCGTTGTAG